TTCCTTCCTTCCTTCTTTCCTTCCTTCCTTCCTTCTTTCCTTCCTTCCTTCTTTCCTTCCTTTCTTCCTCCTTTCCTTCCTTCCTCCTTTCCTCCATCCTCCCTCCTCCCCCTCCCCCTCTTCCTCCTCCTCTTCTTTTTCTTCTTTTCTTTCCTTCCTTTTTTTCTTTCTCCCTCCCTTTCTCTCTGTCTCTTTCCTCCCTCCCTCCCTCCTTCCTTTCTTTCTCTGTCTCTCTTTCTCTCTCCCTCTCTTTCTCATTCTCTCTCTCTCCCTCTCTCCCTCCCTCCCTCCTTTTCTTTTTTTTTCTAATAGGGGACTGGGCTGCACTTTCGTCTTAACTGCTTTTCTCTTCTCCCTGGGTTGCAGAGACTCTTTGAGAAAAGGAACTGGACTCCTCAAGCTATGCTCTACCTGAAGGGTGCACGTATGTTCCAAATACTTTGCTCTTCCTACAGCAATAAAGGAAGACCCTTAGGGGTGCATGAATCCATGGGACGGAGAACTGTGGGGAGGGAATAATATCGAGTTTGTTCCCTTACATAATCGAGGTCATCCTGGTCTCAGTTACCGAAGGAAAAGGGACGGGGTGAGGGGGAGGGTGGCGGTGGAAGGGGAGGATTCTGATTATTAGAAACCCTCCATCCTAAACTAGAGGGTTGCTGGCTCTTGCCACCCAGGAAGACTCTGGGGTTGCCTGGGCGACATCGCACTGGCTGGAGAGCCAGACCGCGGCTCCGAAGCCCGCTACGGGCGCGGGCGGCCGGGGCGCGGGCCTCTCCTCCTGGTCCCCTCCTTCGCGCCAGGCTCGGCCCGGGTGGCGCGCAGAGCGCCCGAAACCCGGCAGCCGGGCGCGCATCCCACCGCCGTCGCCCCCCTCCCGGTGTGGGGACTCGCGGTGCGGAGCGGCTGGTTTACCCCGATCGCCCCGGCCGGCCGGGCGCTGAGCCCTGTGTGTCGCCTTTGCAGAGGGGCGCCGCTTCATCTCCGACCAGAGCCGGAGGAAGGACATCTCCGACCGGCCGCTGTCGGGTGAGTGACCGCGGGAGCGAGGGGGGCGGCCGGTGACTCAGAGCAGGACCGAGCGGGCCGGGTGTGCTCCGCCCAGAGCGGATCGGAAGCTTCTCCCGCCAGAAAAGCTTCCCCGGGGCTGCCCTGGGAGAGCTGCCCGGGCCGAGCCCAGCTTGACAGATCCGGGACAGGGGGCTCGCGACGCCCCGCCCGAAGGGTGGCCGGGGCGGCTCAGGCTGGGGCTGCGGTTCCCGCAGCGTAACTCGGTCACAACTGCTCAGACCGCCCTCTGGCCGCCAGGGTGTGCAGAGGTCCCCAGGGAGTTATCCAGGGACCGGCCAGGCCTGGGGTTCAGCTCCAAGGGGTAAGGAGGGGTAGCGAGAACTGTGCAACTGCTCCCAGAAATGTACCTCCCCGTTTATGACAAGACCTTTACACAGTTTCCTCTTAAACACTATTGTTGTTGTTGTTATTAAAATAGTAATTTACCTAAAAACTTCAAACGCTTGTCTCTATCATATTACTAGAAAGAGCTATCAAAAGGTTCAAAATCAGAAATAGTTAATAAGTGGGGGCTGTTAAGAATGGGGCCAGGGACTGTTATTTTTCATGATAAACCTTTCCATGTTATTGCATTAAAAAAAATATATAATTAATTTTGATAAATATTAAAGACCAAAATGCTAAAAATAAAAAAATATGCTCATTTTGGAAAATACCAAACACTGTGTTGAGCACAGAATAGTTGCTTAACAAATTTTTGTTTACCTTCAAGTTTGCAGGGTAATTAAGCTTATTTACTTTATGAAAGGGAAGGTTTGTTTTCCCACATCAGTTGCTCCCAAATTAAAAACCATGGTTTGTGTTGAATCAGGAAAGTTTGCCTTCTGTCAACTTAGATTTGAAATCATTTTGAATATTTTGCAGATACTCCTTCAGTCAAATAATTGCCTTACATGTGGGAAGAGTGGGGAAGGAACAAATGCCGAAGTAGTCCACGCACCATGCAGGATCACATTTAAACCTTTCTGCCCAGACATCCCATATTTAGCTCTAAAGAGTGAAATTTCTCGAGCGCTTTTAACCTTAATCCTCACTTTCATGAAATTATCTGTAGTATATAGTTTAAATTCTCTTCCATGCCGTGTAGTACACAACATAACCAATTGTAAGTAGTGTCCAAGGGAAGTGTGAAAATGTTTCAACTTATAAAAATCAGTCTTCTGTATGGGCCCTTTGCTGGGGGATCAAAGATCTATTTCGTAGAGGTTTTTCTAGTATTATAGCATACTGGAATAGAATTTATCTATACGAATATTTAAATGCTAATAGACTCTACATTTTTGTTTCTCCAGAAAGACGAAGCCCAAACCCTCAACTACTAACTCTTCCAGAGGCAGAAGCTCTGTTACTGGCTTCCTTGCAGAAACCACAAGAAGGTACAAGTATAGTCACCTGGTTCAACTGCAGGACAGAGAAGCTTTGATTACTTTTGGGATTCTGTGTTGAGTACAACAAAGTTATCTTTATTTATTCAGCTTTTAAAAAACAATTAACAGTTGCCACCCCTCCCCCCAGAAATTCACAGAAATGTTTATTATATAAAGACCAGTATATTTCTCACTAAAGTGAGTCCCAAGAACATAAAAACATTTCCTTGCTGAGACTGGGGAGTTTCAAATGAATTCCACAATCTATACTCTATTGTAACCTTTATTTCTCTTAGAACCCTAGAAGAGAAAAAGCTCAAAGTCCAACTTCGTTATTTTATAGTTGAAAACACTGAGGCCAGAAGAGGTTCAAATAATTGCAAATCCAATTGCTCACTATTAAAAGTTGAACTCAATGAAATTACTGAAAATCAACCATTTTTTCCTTACAAACAGAGCAGGTTCATGTGGGTCACCATAATCAATAAGGGCCAGTTCTGATTCTAAGCCTGTGTAATTTTCACTACACTGTACAGCTTCTTCTATACCAGGATTAGGTGCAATCTTCAAATAGAGACACTCTGTCCATGTAGCATTAAAACTACTAGATGAATTATGGCATTTTGGTAATGAATTAGCCAGGGTTTTGGAGTATAATGGGCCTGGGTTCAAATCCTGGCTTTACTGCTTTACTAGCTAGGTGACCCTAAGCCTTTGTATCATCACTGGTAAAATGGAATAACGATATTCATGGGCAGGGTTGCTATGAGAGCCAAATGAAACAAGGTACGTCACGTGATGCATAACAAGATTTCAGTCAACAACTGACCGCATATACGATGGTGGTCCCATAAGATTAGTACCATATAGCCTAGGTGTCTAGTAGGCTATACCATCTAGGCTTGTGTAAGTACTGTGAAAGAGGGAGAAATTTTCCTCTGCCCTTCTAGGTTCTTCTGGCTGATCTAAGAATTAAATTGACATGAAACAGATTAACAGGAGAACAACAAAAGTTTTATAACATGTATACATGGCAGAAACCCAGGAAAACTGAGTAACTCACCAAAATGGCCAAAGCCCTCACCATAAATACCATCCTCAGCTAAAGACCAAAGAAGATGCTGGGAGTAGGGAGAGTCAGGGACTTCAAAGAGAAGGGAGGCAATTCACAAGTAGGTGAAAAGAAGCAAATGTTTGGAAAACAAGTGTTTGTTTGACCACAAAGAAACAGAAGAACACAGAGGGGAGCCCAACAAACAGGTTTTTCTAGGTTCCTCCCTGTCTACCACCTAGTTCATGTGATGCTGACATGATAGCTCGCTTCATAAGATAGGATTTTTTTTATCCGAATTCTTTTAGGTAATTAAGGGGGAGGTAAAAAGAAAAACTTTGAATCTTTGTTTCTTAAAAATAATCAGCCTAAAATAATCCTCATGGTAAAGAGACACATTTTGGTGTGACAAATTTTGTTCCCACCACTACTCTCTATGATGTTTGCACAACAACAAAATTGCCTAATGACGCATTTCTCAGAATGTGTCCTCATCCTTAAGTGACACATGACTGTACATTATTTTTATTACTATTTACAATAGAGGTCATCAAACCATAATAAATAGATCTAGAATTTTTCCTTTCAAAAATTGTAGTGATGCCATATTTATGACAGTTTAAATTTTTAAATGTATAAAAATATATAGTGAGTGATCTGGTGGTGATCTATAGTGAGCTTCTGGCCTGGTGCTCTCACACTAGTGCCAATGGAGAAAGCATATGTGCTCTGTGCCTAGTATTGGACAGGCCACGTGGGGGAGGAGAAGAGCTCTGGCTTCAAGTTATGACTTGGCCGTGAAAAAATACCAATGAGAAGCAAAGGGGAGAGAGTGGGATAAAGAGATCTTTTGAACTCAGAGCAGGGCCAGGGCCGACTTGGGTGAGTAGAAGGGATTATAACACTTAATTCAGCAAATACGCATTTCTGCCTGCTAGGTGCCAGGCACTGTGGCAGGCAGAGAAGGAAGCAGACTAAGCAGAAGCAAGAGTGAGAATGGCCTTTGCAGTGAAGAGATAGGGCGAGCGGTCACTGGAATAGCAGAATATAGGAGTCGTGCTTATGACAGAGCTATGACGATGACTACCGCTAGTACTGCTGCCTCTAGCTAACACAGTTGAGGGTTTACTGTAACGCAGTGGGCCAGGGACTGTTCTAAGCACTGGATGTGGATTAAGGCATTTTATCCTCACAGTAACCCTGGGAGGTAGACACCCTTATTATCCACACTTAACAGAAGAGGAAACAGAGGCACAGAAAGCTTAAGTAACTTGCCCACTATCACATAGCAGGTACATACTGGAAGTGGCATGTAGAACAGAAGGTGACGTATGCTTTGTCTGAGAATCAATAAGATGTCCTCTGGGTTTTCAGCAGAGAGATGACATTGTGAAGGAAGATGAGTCTGGTTATGGGATATAGCGTAGCAATAAGAGCAGTGACAATAGCTACAATATGGGAACATCTACAATGTGTTAGATGTTAAATCTAATCCATTAATAAATTATTGCTATTGCGAATTAATTACTGCTAATAGCTCAGAAAACTGAACCTTCCAGGTATATTTACTTTCCTAGGGTCACACCGTTAGTAAGAAGTGATACTGGGATTCTAACTCAGGTCTGCATGACTCGATAGCTCTTTCAGTTAAGCCATGCCACCTCTCAAATGGATTGTGTGGAAGAGGAAAGGCTAGAGACGGGAATCAGTCACAAACTGAGGAAGTAATGCAGGAGTGAAGTGATGAGGTCCAGTCAGTCAGTGGGAACGGATGGAGAGGCTCTACTCTGAGGGATCCTGGAAGGAAGAAAGATAACATGGGATAACTATTCGCGAAAAGGTATAAAAGAATCCAGAGTCAAGCACATCTTTAAAGTGTCGTGTATGAGAGTTTAAAATGGTGATGCTGATAAGGAATGAAAATTTCTGTGGCTGTAATTAAGGTTCAGTTTGAGGTGACAGACATTCCAGTGAATAAATGTGTACAGGTCAGCGGTTCTCTACTATCTGTCTGTGGACTGGCTCCATCAGAGTTAACTGGAGGGCTTGCTGAAATAAAGATTTCTTGGCCTTAGGCCCAGAGATGCTAATTCTGTACTACTTGAGTGAGGCCTCAGAATCTGTACCCTCAAGCAGTTCTGTGAAATTATTCCAACGATCAGTCAGGCTTGGGAACAACTGGAAATTCAGAGCCAGTTAATAATAAAGGTTGAAACCATGAAAATGGAAATTCCTCCTAGGCCTCAGATGTAGTGGGAGAAGGACAGATAATAAAAGATTTGCCTTGGAGAATACCCAGAGATCAAGGGAAAAGGGGAAAATTGAATCAGTGAAAGGACATTAAAAGAAGCAGGCAGAGGGGCAGGCCTGGTGGTGTAGTGGTTAAGTTCGTGCACTCCACTTCAGCAGCCTGGAGTTCGCAGGTTCAGATCCCGGGCATGGACATACGTGCCACTTATCAAGCCATGCTGTGGCAGGCGTCCCACATGTAAAGTAGAGGAAGATGGGTGTAGATGTTAGCCCAGGGCCAATCTTCCTCAGCAAAAAGACGAGGATTGGCAAGAGATGTTAGCTCAAGGCTAATCTTCCTCACCAAAAAAAAAAAAAGAAAAAGAAGAAGCAGGCGGAAATGTAAGAGGAGAACCAGGATAGCAGAGTATCCAGAAGTCGAGGATGGAAAGTTTCAAGAAAGGAGTGATTGGAAGCATCAAACGTAGCAGAATACTTAGTAGGAATACAGAAATCAAGGGGAAAGGAAGATAGTGGTGGCTAGGAAAGGTCATTGAACAGTGGTTCACAAGACATCCTCTCAGCCCTTGCCCAATGACATGATATGCTGCTGCCTCGCCCCTCCTGACACCTTGAGAGGCAATTTGGGACAAGAAAGTAAATTGCAGAGTTAAGAGAAAGCAGGTACTAGCTGGCATGGCTCTCAGAACCCTTGCAATGAAAAGGTGAGAAACAGTTACATAATAGATAGAAGATTCTGCATCCAAGGTGATCTTTTCTAAATTCAAAGTTTGGCACACTTACAGATTTTTGAAGTCAGTAGGAGGAGAGTGCCACTGGTGGAGATGGGTTCAGAGTGAAGTTTTAGATTTGGTTTCTGGGAAGATGTACAGAGCCAGAAAGGAAAGTGAGCTAGAATGGAAAAGAGAGGGCTAATTTTCAAGAGGAGGAGAGGGATCTTCATTAGAAACTTTAGAGAAGGATGTGATTCTAGATCCCTATTTGAAGTCTTTTTTGAAAAATAAATAAATTTTTTTAGTTATTGAAGTTTCCTAAGTGGTTTGGCTCTGGTGATGAAATGAGGAAACAAAATTTTATTAGTCTAAGTTAATGGAAACGTTTTAGATTTCCATATGATATATTAATCACTAGTCACCTTTAATATTTTTATTCTAAAGTCTCTAGGTACTATTTGGAAGGCTCTTATTTTATGTAGTGGATTTTTTTTTTAGTATATACAGGGATGCCTTTCTTGTTGAGTTTTTTTCTTTCCCCTTCCCTTTAAAGAGCAACCCATTGTCTGCAATATTTCAAAATGTGTTAGCAATTCAGGTTAAAAACCCAGACGTTCAAATGATGTTGCAACTAACTGAGGGAATGTGTTTTTTAATCCGGAGATGATCTTACAGAAAATTAAAAGGAGAGGCATTTTGCCTGTGGCAACTCCCTCTCCCCACCCCATTGTAAGTTTTAGCCTTTCTATCTACTTTTAGAGTCCCAGAAACTGCTATCGTCTGATTCAGTTATCCCTGCCCCAGATGTGATTCCTCGTGCTCTAAAGTTTTACAGTCCCATACAGCTAACAAGCGTCCCTTCTTTTTGTCTCATTTCCTCCCCAGACTTTTGGCTCAGCTAATAAGAGAATATTTGCAAAAGGGTTCCTACTTCATCTTTCCCAAGTAGGATTCATTTTAGCAGGAAATAGAGACAGTACCTTAATGGAAACCAGTGGTTCTAATGGTGGGTATTTAGACATGAGGAACACTTAGAGCAAGACACCTGGCCTTTTCAGATTTCTACCAAACATGCCACATTTTTGTTTCATTCATTATGGAGATTCAGATTTCTCTGAATGTGAATTCTCTGATGTATCCCAAGCTGACGGGAAAAATTTTAAAACCAAATCAATCAAAACCCGATTTTTTGGATTTTCAGTAGCAGAGTGCACAAGTTAACATAACTTAAGGGACTGAATGTTTATTTCCTGAGCTTCTCTTCAAATTTCTTTTCTCCTTTCGAAACACAGACTGTGTGTTTATTTTGTGTGTTTTTTTTCCTTACAGCTGGAGAAGAAAATTTTGATCAAACCAGATTCCTAGAAGACAGTCTGCTAAACTGGTGAAAATATGCCCAATTGCATTTGATTACAGTTCTATTGGTGAATAAAACCCATGAACCCTTTTTACTTTATTTATATTCTTAGGAACATGCACAGCTAGATTCTTCCAGATGCAAAAGAAACGTAGAGTTCTTAGCTGAGAACTTCATTGCCTTCTTTCATTGCTTTGGGTCCTGTTTAGATCACCTTGTGTCTTACTCTCGAATTTTTTAGAGCATTTATGATTATAAGGCTGAAGACTCTTTAGAGTGTTGTTTTTGTTACAAGAGATACCCATCTTGATCTAATAATTCTTAGCTGTTGGTTTTTTCATTCTGTTTCCCACTTTCATTGTCTTGTCACTCAGCAGCGAATCTCCCTCTCCTTTTTGCCCTTTTCCATCTCTAAGGAGGGTGAGGGGGAAGCATGGCGGGATGGGGAGAGTAGAGTGTGACTCTCTTAGCTGTTCATCCAGGAGAGGTAAGTTGTTGAGAAGGGAAGCGGCAGCAGATGACTGGCGAGAAGGCCTGTGATAGAACACTTCAGTGTGGTTGTTGAGAGGAGACTGGAGGTGAGGCTGGAGCCAGTGGAAGGTTTGTTGATGTTCCACAGGCGGGAGCGCCCCCTTGTGCTCTTTGGGGACCTCCTCGACTTCAGTTTAGAAACATGGATCTCACAGTTAGAGAGAAATAGGCAAATGGAGACATACTCTGCTCCTGTGTACATTGTATAAAAGGAACAAACCAGTTTTTTAGAGGTTTTCAATGGCTGAACAGACTCAAAGACTGCCTACTCTAATTGACTAGAACTCTAGTCTTTATTTGACATCAGACATTACATAAAGGCACCTTGATAACATAAGTGCATGGTAATATGCCTAATTTGTTCCTTTTCAAAGTCAACTTGGGTTCAATACTCTCCGAAAAAAAAAAA